CGTTCGCGTGCGTCAAAATTAATATATGCTTTATATCATGTCTTTTTTAAAATCAGTTATAGCTCCTTAGGATGAAAGGTGACCCCTAAATTTTATTACATATTCTGAAAGCACATGAGCTGTAGATGTGATTGTATATATCATAATAGCTGATCGGACATTGTGACGTCATCATATTGCCATCTGAATTTAAAAACAAGAAAAAAATTATATTTCTTTTTTCAAAACGTTGATGACGTCATATCATCTTAACCATTCGTCATTTCTGAATAATATTAAATGGGCTTATACTTCAGGTCAAGGAGTAATGTTAGGTATCTTACTTTTTTGTTTGCGCGTCTTAACGTGCGCGTACGTGTGCGTCAAATATTACATATGCTTAAAATTATGCCTATTTATAATCAAATATAGCTCCTTAGGATGAAAGGTGACCCCAATTTTTATTACATATTCTAAAAGCACATGAGTTGTAGATATGATTTTATATATCATAATAGCTGATCGGACATTGTGACGTCACCATATTATCATCCTGAAGTAAAAATAACTGAATTTGTATATGATAAATACTATGAATGATCATTACTCCTTCACCAACAGGCGTTTGTCAATGAAAGTTGATACATATATATCTCATATCAAAAGACAACAGTGACATTAAGATGCGCACGTGCGTCATGACGTGCGCATACACATGAGTAAATCTTTCAAAATGCTCAAAATGCTTTTTTAACCAAATAAATTAGCGTATTTTGCCATTATCAGCATTTAATTATTGTTCAATCCGCCACGCGCACACTTCCTCGTGGGTCAAAGTGCGGCGGATCACCTAACTCGTCCTCAGTGACGAGTTCAAATCTAGTTTCTGTTCTTTTTCTATTCTTCAACTACTGTACTACAGTATGAATTTCTTATGTGGCTGAATAATTGCATTGTGCTGTGGAGCATCAGCTATTATAAAAAAAATGCTATGCTACAGTAATTAAAAACAACAAGAGAGTTACAGCCATGGTTACAGCATACACGCAAAGATAAAAAAAAATTGGACCGGGGCTAAAATTGGGTCAGGCGAACCGATTTTGGCTTTAAAATTAACTGCCAAATGTAGTCCACATAAGCCAAAATCGGTTTGACGTCTATTTAATAGTTATAAATTGTATTTTTATAACGTTGATCATATTTTTTAAAAATCAAATGATAGATAAATATCTTATCTCTCATATACGTTTTCATTTGTTACGTGTGAAATCATAGGTGAAATTAAGTAAAGCTTCGCGCACAGTAAACCCTGTGGTGTAAAAGTATGAAAAGAAGTTAAACGATGTGGTCTTAAATTGTGTTGGTCTGATTTAGCTTATTTTTTTAACTTGTTTTGTTTTGGGTGTGTGTGCTTAATGCCGCAACGAAGTACATGCATTCAATTCCAAGAATTCTGACCCCTTTATTTCATGTATAGAACATCTATTGTCTGATCTAATACCCCACACAATAATCCAGAATATTTAAAACTAATAAATTACTGTAGTCATGTGTATCATATTAGGCCAAAACCTAGGCCAAACCACGGCCACTGAAAATGATGCATGCTGTGTGTATCGATCGCTTAGGACTAGGAAATGCATTATCAGGTGGGTTTGATAAAACACGTCCTCAAAAGCTTATTATGAATCATTCTGTCACTGCAAAAGACTTTGCAAGTGTGGGAGAAGCATAAATTACTGTACTTTCCTCCACTTCAATGGAGAAGCAATCATACCCTACGAGCAGCAGACGAGTTACAAGTGAAGTGGCCAGGCAGACAAGGACAAATTTTACCAAGCGGGACCAGTTTTAGCAGCTAAAATCAACCCGCCGGACATTTTTTGGCCCAGACTAATTTCGGCGCGACGGAACCAACAAGCCAACTGTAGGCTGGAATTAGCAGTACTTATTATTACACAACAATATATAATCACAAAGAAAATGCCATGGTGTGGGATTAAGCCTAAGTAGTACTAGTAGGCTAGGCCTTGCTTAGGCTAGGGCCTAGGTAGGCTACAGTATGTACTTTACAACAATGAATAAAAAACAAGCTGACCGACAATGACCCTGACATCATTGTGTTGAACAGCTGATTACAATAAATACTGTACATTACAAAACATGAGGGTAGGCCTAGTACTACAACCACAGGCCCAAGAAAATGGCAGATATTATAGAAAAAACAAGACGCATCTAATTTAGAAAACAAAGAAAATTAAAGTTGTTGGTGGTGAAACAGCGAGATAAAACATACTTCCTATCACAAGGTGCAAATGGTCATTCGACTGTTCACAAATGAAACCGCCTACTTTTTTATTACTTACCTCTATTCAAGTATTTAGAAGATACATTTTCAAATGGAGATGGTTTCTTGCACTGTTGTGAAGGTGGGGTTGATGGCTTTAAAACAGGCATACATCTCCTCCTCTTTGGAGAAGCAGAAGGGCTGTGTAGTGGATCAAAATCTAATGTCCGTTTCAACGTAGCACAGGCCATTGTTTTGAATTTCCACCAGCAAGAACGGAAAATTAACCGTTCCTTCTACCACTACAACTAAGGTAAATCTGAACAAAACGTCCTTCAAATCCACCTTAAGTATATTATCTATAACAAAGGTATATAAAATGTGTATTCTATATTCTTTACGTGCTTGATTAACCAGATTCTTCTTAGTACTTCTGTCGCTTCCGAATATGACCAGTTTCACCGTCAATTCAAAATGGCTACCCTCTAAACCAACAGCCTCAGTTTGGATTCCAGTGTTCGACAGGATCTTTGGTGTTCCATACAAGAATAAAGGAGGGCGCTATTCTACATACTTCTGCAGACTGTTCAGTACTGTTTAGTTTTGTGTAAGTTGCATAAATCCGTAATCTGTATATTGTAATCAAGGTGAGTCAGCCATCTTCTCAATCGTTTAATAGTTTTCTTAAATATAAAATTCGTTTTATTTTAGTTATTTTTTTTGCAGTATGTATCAAGTAATCAAAAATGTAAACAACTTCAACATATTATATTCTTTACTCGTTTGTTACATAAGCTTTGGATAATGTTAAGTGTATTTATTAATAATAATAATAATAATTTTGGCTTATATAGCGCATTATGCTAAAGCCTCAATGCGCTTAACAGTAAAAATAAAATTCGGGAAAAAAATTAAGAAAAATACAAGATACAATATACAGTATAACAAATATGATACAAATCAAAAAAACGAAACGAACATAACATTAACAAGTACATTAAATAAACTATAGTCGTTAGCTGCCAGGAAAGCACAAAAACAGCCTAAAACAGTACTTCCAACCAATGACTGCTAACATAATACAAATAACATAAATGACATAGATAAACATAAACGACTAAAGCATTGCATACGGTATATATATATATATATATATATATATATATATATATATATATATATATATATATATATATATATATATATATATATATAT